TAAACATGCCGGCCCCGTTGCACAGGTGCAAGCGTATCCCGCAAACGTTGCAATGCCCGAATGGCTCTGTCCAGTTCGATGCGGGCACGAGCATCCGTTGACCGTGGTGTTGGTTGCCGCGCCGGAGCCGCAGCTGCCTCCTCCTCAGGTGTCGGACGGTGCAAGAGGGTGTGATGCAACTGTTTGCAGATTTTGCACCTCCCATCTGAGCGGCAATCCCTGACATGACTGTGGGTGCGGGCCAAGCAATTGGGGCAATAGTCTAAGAACCGCACCTTAACCCTCCGTTCTTCTACTCCCATGAGTTGGAACTCTTTGCAGAACCGCAAGGCGTGGTATTTAAAACATATAAGGCACTGATGTACATCGGGATCGCGCGGCGAGCGTGACGGCCTGGTGTTGCGTGGCAATAGCTTCCACGGGGCATACACTTTCGGTTCCCTGTGAATGAGATTTGTTTTAGTAAAGGCTGTCAGAAAACTTATGACTATGGTGGTTAGAAAGTAGAATTGTGAAGACTTTTGTCAAGGCAATGGATGAGATAAGTCTGTTTGACTCGGGAGCGGACATAGTTTGACAATTGGCCTGGTCAAGGTACCATGTTGCGTTCGAATGTCGGCAACGCGGACTTTGTTGTCCGAGCCATGATAAACCTTTTCGACTCTGCCTAAACGCCATTCATTTGGAGGTAATAGTTCGTTTTTAATGACGACGAAGTCGCCAACAGAAAGATTGTGGTGCGAGATTTTCCACTTATACCTTTGATGTAATTCTTTAAGGTATTCATCTTTCCAGCGCTGACTAAACTGTTGATGCAAGAGTTTTAATTTCTCCCACCGATTTTGAAGCGAAAGATTGTCAATTTGTGGTTCTGGCGCTGCAATCAGAGGCGCTCCGCGCAAGAAATGGCCAGGCGTTAGGGCTAGAAGCTCTTGAGGATTGTCTGACATGGGGGAGAGTGGTCGAGAGTTCAACATTCCTTCGATGCGAGCCAGCAGTGTGGCGAGCTCTTCAAAGGTGAAACTATTACTCCCAACGATTCGTTTGAAATGGAGTTTGAAGCTTTTGACGGCTGCCTCCCACAGCCCGCCCATGTGAGGAGCATTTGGTGGTAAGAACTGCCACTCGAAGCCATGTATGGAGTACTGGGAACGTATGTCGTCGGATGACTCTTTAAGGAATCGTTTGAAATCTTGGCGGTAGGCCCCACTTGCGCCTACGAAATTTTTTCCATTATCGGAGAATACGCGTTGTGGGAGGCCGC